TGGATAGAATTGCTTGGATAAGGTTGTTGAAGTGGTCCAGTTCAGTTGGACGGCGCTGCATTCGCTTCAAAAGCCACTTTCTTTGTGCAAATGTCAAACGCAAGTCATTTTGAGTTGAGCATTCGATTGAATTGGACGTACCGAGCATTCACTGAATAGAGTTCACCGCTAAAAACGCTAAAAACACTAAAATCAACAAAGTCATCGTTTTTTCTCACGTTTCACGAAGAAAGCAAAAAATTGAAGAAAATGGCATCATCGAAAAAGTCAAAGGGACCAGAGGTGAGCAAAGTGCGTGAAATAATGAAGCGCCTGAAGGCCACAAAGAGTGACAACGAAACCGCGAAGAAAGTTGCCAAAGAACTCGGCTATAAGATCTTCAGCAAGAAAACGTTGGCTGGTTTGCGTGGCAAAATGCAAGCTTCACTCAGAGCATGGGACGACGAATAGCATCGGTAAGTACCAATTTCATAACAGTATTTTTCTGACATTCGAGAGACGGTGACGAAATTCACACTTTTGCGACGCAAAATCTCGCTGTGCGAACAATGAACATCATTCAGCAATCGTATCGAGTAACGGGAACTTGATTTTGTTCACACGAAAAAGTCACAGTCTGTGCATTCACGACATTGACTGCTGACTTTGTGTTGGTGATTTTGCAATACATTTTCTCAAACAAAGCACACTGTTCTCATTCGTTGTATGCCATTAACCACCGTATTTCGTTCTCCCTTTCAGCGACAGCATGGACCACTCGATATCAATGACGACCGCCTTTTGTATACGGACACAGCCAATCTGAACGCATCAAAAAACAACAAAACAAACGATTTACACAGCAGAAAAGAATGAAGAAGAAGAAGAAACGTATGAAGTCCCGTTGCATAAGAACAACAACACATCCAGTTTTCAACACCATTTCAACAACAATTCTCTTTATGGTCAACATAAAAAACATTTGTTTGTTAGAACATTCGACTTACTTTGATTCATGTGAAAGACTTCTACGTAAATTTTCTTTAAAATATTCATCAAATAACTGAATCCAAATGAAGGAAATAAAAAAAAATCCATTTAGTTAATAGGGATCATTGCGATCGTGAAGAAATTTGTCAATTTGATATTGAAATTGAAATAAATTAATTACTATGAGAAAATGCAAAGAGTTGGCGTTTTACTTATTCGAATGAAAAGTGGTCCGTGTTTCCTCCTTTGTGGCTTTAGGTTCGTGGGTTTCGTTTTCATTAAATTTTTAGAGAGAAAATGAGAGGTTCCGAGGAAAAATGTTACGTAGAAAAGTTCCGCGGAAAAATGTTCGGGAGCTAAATGATAAGGAACAATTGTTAGACATTTAAAATAGCTTTAAAACAATCATCTCATTTCAACGATTGATATATCTCGATGAAGGGAAATGTGTTCCATTTGTAATCCTTTTGAAGTAGTTAATAGAATTGCATAGAAACATTGGAAATCAATAAATCTTAATAATGTTCTGTATAATAACCTCTTGATGACCACTTATTACCGTTGATGGAATCATGAAATAATTTGAAATCAATCGGTGGTACGTTGATATATTTTTGATTCAAGATCATAGAAAATTCAGACCATATTAACTTCTTCTTTCTTTATTTGAAATAGCCAATCAATCAATTTGAAATGCTATCTATGCTTTCTGGCTGCCTGTTTGAAAGTTAATTTTGGCTGAGTTTTTTTACCAATTGTTTTGGAAATAAGAGAAGTAAACAAATGGAACTGTGGATTTATTTGGATTTTTGTTTAATACAAAATTTAATGAAATATTGTTTTGAACAAGCTATCATAATCTTTTTTCGTTTTAAATCAAATCTAATTATTCAAACTTATTTCAGCTCTTTGATGTTCATTGGTAAGAAGTTTATATGAAAGAAAATGTTAACGTTTTTTGTCGTAATGGAAATCAACTTAATCAAATCAAATCGTATTCGATTGGTCCAACTAATAGTCGATTAACTCCAATCCAGTAATTATATGATCGCGACCACAATCATTTTGGAATGTAATGCTTAGGCCATTCTTTGATATTACTTCGCCAAGCTTGCGTCTGTAAATATAGCCGCCTCCGTAGTAGTTTGAAAATTCTAAACAAATTTGGTATGTGTTGCTCGCATTGATAACGATTGGTATCGGTGGCTTGAAGTAATTTCCTGCGATGCTATTCTTCATGTTCTTCGTTTCTTCAAATAGAATTTTTCCAGTTTCGGTAGCAAATGAATGGCCTTTTATTTCTACAATGCTGACTTTGGCGTTCAATGTACTGGGAACGTAACGTTCGTCGTAACTGAAGACAAAATATATACCGCTAAGCAATGTCGTCTTGTTCGACGTAATGAAAACACTTTCACAGCCTTGAAGCGATTGCAATAGAGTAGTAGTATTTGGATAACACTTCCAAACTTTGCTTTCGTCCCAGCAAAGTGTCCGTGGAATTTGATTAAATTTCTTCGAAACGAAACCTTTAAACGATATAGAACGCCATATATCGCCCATTTCATAAACTGTAAACATACCTTCACACTTGAGTGTGGCTTCAGAAAATTCCCGAATTGTCATTGTTCCGAATCGAATCAAGAACAAACAATCGCCCAGTTGGTTCCGCAAATTCACTGAAACCTTTTCGTCTAAGCCGTTTTGTTGGCATGCATTCTTTGCCCAAGCCAAACAGCGATCGAATACGATTGATTCTTGGCAACGAAGATCCAATTTCAGAATTTCACGTAACAATTTTTGGCTGCAAGTGCGGAATTCGTCCGATTCTAGCACTCGTTCAGCATTCGAAATGATGTGTTCTTCACAAAATTGCTTCAACTGGTGGTGTTCGTGCAGTATGGCAAAGTCATAGACCCAGCAAACGTTGGTCGATGTTAAATTGTCATTCAGATATTTGGCACATCCATCCATGCAGTCGGCGACCATGTATTTATTGGCCAAATACATTATTTCGGGGATGTGCTTCATTGTGAATGTAACAGTGCTGAGATAAAAACACTGCAAAAATTCTTTGAACGCCTCTGGCGATGAATCGACGATTTCCACGTCACCTTTTTCCTTAATTGAACCGTAGAATTCGGCGCGGAATACAGAGCTTGAGGATGCCAAAATCAGTTTATGAGCTGGCACTTTTTCAATTAATTTTTTCGCATTGATATCGGTCGTGTTTTCTTCATAAAACAAAAAATTGACATCCGTCAAATCCGGTTGCAAATAGAGACTCGCACAAGACTTGTCACACAAATGAAACTCGTACTGTTTGGTGGCTTGTTGTTCGACAGGAACATGTTGCTCGGTGTTTTGGGCCATTTTTGTTTAATATTCGAATGAAATCGGGTTAGACGCTGTAAAGAAGTTTTAAATAAAATGTATTTTAGAATTAATCGACATTTATTCATTCGACAGCAAATGTACGTTTATGAAACACATTTTGGTAGAATGGTCTTTATTCAATGACACACTACAATAACTCTATTCATGTTGTTTAATACACAATACAGTCACCCTATGTTTCTTTCGGAAGAACCGATGAATAAAAGGAATTTATGTTCTTCGGTTGTTTATAGAAAAAATTAAAACGCAGCAGTTTGCGATCGTGAAACACCAACTTGTGCAATTATTTGACGCTATTTCTATACAAGTGTGTGTTTATTAGCGACCATAGACGACATATTGAATTTTTTTCGATTTTTTTGGGAATTCCCAACTTAAGTTCCATTGCCCGACTTGGTGATAATTTTTGGGAATTTAATGTAAATAATTTTTTCAAAACGTTGTAGAGGGGAAACAACAGAACTTACTTCAGATATATTTTTCAAGCGAGATTTTTTTTTCTTACCACTACTGATGGACTTAAATTATGGAAAATTTTGCTGCTCACGAAATTAGGCAAGAAATTGAATCGCTTTTATATAAACGAAGCTTTGATTTTGCAATACGATTAAATGATTTTACTGAAAATACTTTATTTTAATGCTCAAAGATGGAAAATGGATTAAAAACTTTATTCCACACAAGACGAAATATGATGATGCAATACCAGACGATGCATAATGCAATAGTCGTTTGTTAGTCGAATAATGTTCGGTACGATCTTCTCTCGGTGTGACAGTGCGCAATGAATGAGACAGTAAATTAAATGATGAACTGTCAAACTGCGTGCGAACGTTTTTCGCGCGAAAGTTCAAACAGTGAGAAAAGTAACAAAATAAATTACATTCACATATACGTTTAATTATTTGAAAGGAACATCCTTTTTTTCTTATAAATGTCTAAATATTCTTTCTCTACATCTTTTATGACTTACAATGATGAATTTGCATAAACGTAAAAAATCCGATGTTTTAATATTTTAATTATTTAAAAGCGTGCTAAGCTCTTAGCTTTCAATGTAAATTTACAGAAAAATCCTGTTGAAATCAGCCATTTTTTGTCCATTTGTCCTTTCGCATTTTTCCGGTTTGTTCCCGAATCAAGTTTAAACTGAAATTTTTCTGCTGATTTACAAATGTTTAAAAATTCGATGGCTTTATCCATTGAAAAGTGACTTGAGCCCCATTCGATGATTTTTACCAGTTCAAATGCTTCGGCGAGTTTGAATTTGTATCGATCTTTCAAGCGGCGTAGAGTTCGAGAATTAAAGAAATATTCTTTAATTTAATAGCAGAAGTAGTTGAGAAAAGATTTTTCACACTTTCATGATGAACCCATTTGTACGACATTTGAAAGTATTCTATTTTCTAACAAAACACTATAAAAAATTGGATTTTTTTATGGGAGCCATGACTGTATGCTACCTTAATGACGTGAAACTTTGCACAGGTGTTTTTTTTTTCACAAAAATATAACATTCAGAGGGCTTGACTGACAATATATTTAGATTTTGTCATCTGTATATTTCAGCTAATCTGGATAACGTTAGGCGATGATTCGTTCGAAGTCGTAAATTTTGACCATTGCAATACTTTCAAAGTAAAACGATTCTTTTTGATGATTCATTTGTTTTATTTTCTGCAAAAGTACTGTTTTTCTTATTCGATTGTTCGTGATGGTTATTCGAATGTTCTTCAAACATTTTTGAAGTTTTCCACTTTGCAACAAATAAAAAAAGTTGGCTGACTTGAATCCAACATTATTTCTTCAATCGATGCACGTTTGTCATGTGCCGAAAAGCGTCTCATCAGTATGGTGAACACGAGCATGGGCCTTCAATTGGGATGAACCATGCATTGACATTCGACACAAATAGCACTGATAGGAGCGACGTTTTCATCGTTGTTCATGTGCATCCTTCTGCAAACTTCTTCCAGCATGTTGAGCAACGAATCGGTTGTTTTTTGTTGTGCGTTTTCAAATTTTGCTCAACTTCCTTTCTTTGATGGAATGACTTTCCACAAATGCCATACGAGAATGGTTTTTCACCAGTGTGCTTTGATCGCATGTGCTGCTGCAAATTACCTTTGTTGAAGTATTTGTATTGACATAAATAGCAATTGTATCGGTGACGGGTGCAACAATTTTCATGCGGTGCCAAATTGTTGACCACATTTCCGGCAGTCGAATGGCAGTTTTTCAATATGGATTCGTGAATGCACATTTAGATGAGATTTCTTAGAAAATTCTTTGGAGCAAATATGGCATTTGAATGGCTTCACACCATTATGGATTCGCATGTGCTACTTCAGATGTTCCAAATCCAGAGTTGTGCTTTCACATAAGTGGTATAGGAGCCCGTTGCCTTCATGGTTAATCTTTTCAATTTCTTCTGTGAAGCCAATTCGCATGGGGCGGAAATGAATGAGACGAAATTTTCTCTCTCATGGGCGCAGCCATATTGAAAATTTTGTATGCGCTTATATGTAAAATTGGTGGCGCCACTGGTATATTTGATGGAAAAAGACGAACTTGTTTGAGTCTCACTCGTTTATATGTAAATTACATAGGCATTTCCAGGCCATGCCAATTCGGCACTTCGAACAACGGAATGATAATTTTGAAGCATGGATTTTCTTATGCTGTTTCAAATTACCTTTGCAATGCCTTCGCACATACTTCACAAGCAAACAGCCTCTCGCCGGTGTGGACTCGTATGTGCTGGGTGATTTAAAAATTGCCAAATAATTGCATATATTACACTTATGCTTCTTCACTTGTGGTGTGACCTTTGATTTCTTTATTGTTTTGCCTTTGCGGACTTTCTTTGCACCTTTTGGCTTCATCTCATTGCCATTTGATGTATTCGGCATATCATTTCTAACATTGGATTGTTAGCATTTACGTCAGCTGGATCATTATCATCGATTCCACCTTTGCCATTCCTTCTTTGCACATTCGTCATTTGATTTCCACCTTAATATCGTTGCGCAAACAGTCGTCGTCAATCTCGCTCTCCGATTTGATGGTGACACCCGTTCCAATTGGCGATGGCGGCAGCGAGTACTGAATCATATCATTCGGCTCTTCTTTGACGATGAACTCTTCCTTCACCGTGATTTGTGAACACTTTGGCTTGCAATTGCACTTGTGGCCAACCTTTCCGCCGCTAATGCCCTTGCATCGAAATGGATTCATTGTCTTCCTGAACTAAACAACATCATAAGGACCAGACATAAACAGAAATTTCATTAGTCACCTAAACACGCAATCAAGGAAGACAATTTGCATCAAGAAATTTATATGCAATCTGATTGGGGTGCTTGGGACATTAATTGTGTCGAATACCTTTTCTTCATTTAATACTATGCTATTTTGTTGAAAACTTACCTTTTAATTAGCTTCTGCTCAATACTAATACAAATTTATTTCAGATATAACGTGGTGCTTCTTCAAATTGCGGCCGTCTCTAAGCGACCGTCTTCTATTACTGTACAATGCAATTTATTGACTGCATGAAAAAGGAAAGAAAAATGCTACTTGTGTTGATGATGACGGGCTCCGATATGAAGTTAGTTGTTGTTAATTGCACATGAATTCTATTTTTTTTTTATCCAAAAAAGTCGTTGATTTGTGAAAACAAGAAAATGATTTGATGTTGATCAATTGAATTCGTATTTGATGACGAAAAATCATTCAATTTATTGAACTCTTTCGACATTTCAGAATAATGTTTCTCCAGAAATTTACTCGATTGATTCTTTTTGGGTTTATTTAAAAAAAAATTAAATAAAAAACGAAAATCATATCTATTTTTCAGACGGTACAACCGACGGTACAACCGACGGTTTTGAGTGAAAATGTTTATTTATTTTTGATTCGGGATGAATGATGAAAATACACTTAATAATTAAGTATTGAGTTCACGTATTTTGTTCAAACTGAAAAACAACTTCTAAAACAATGTATTTCATTTACTCTAGATTTCAAATGGAAATTTTCTTAAATGTTATAATTAAAGAAACGATTCATTTATAGATCAATGATCATCATCAGTTAATTCTAAGTTTTATATTTAAATTTTATAAAAACTGAGATGCCAAATGAGACTTTTAGTCGGGACGGAATCGTTAAACTGTATGGTAATGTCCGATTCCATATCAACATTGGATTTGAGTAAAGTGTTTGTGCACCAATTTTTCGGTGGATTTTGTTTCAGCTGAATTTTGTATTGGAAACCAGGTCGAATCAAAACTGGTTTTGGTAAAGACACCATTCTATAACTTCCGAACGTAGTTTTGGTCTGATACAGAACAACTTCTTCACCGCGGACTGTTGAGCTCTGTGCTTCGGAGATTGTAACTTCAGTTGGTATGCCATTTGTTACTCGAAGAAATTTTCCATCTTTGTATTCGTAGACGATATCAAAAAAGAAATATCTCAAGAAAAATGGATCACTCGACGAGAACGTCGTTGAATCCAAATTACGGATGTAATATGGTTCGTTCGCATGTGAAATGAAACGACTGCAGAAAATCTTATCTTTCTCATTCAATATAGGTGATTCAGATCGAATTTTACGTATTCCGTTGAACATCTTCGACTTGAAATTCGTGTCTGCAATCATTTGAATAATGTCTTGATATTCTTCATTCGAAAATATGGCCCCGTATAAGGGAATGACCGATGCAAATTCGTTGAGTGTCATCAAACCAAAGCGAAAGTCATAAAATGAATCGCCGAGTTGAGCTTGCACCATTTGCTTTGTAACGATGTCCTCTCCGCTTTTAGCTTTTATCCATGCCATACAGGATTCGAAGAGCTCAATTTCAGAGCACGTCAACCAATTCAGCTTCACAATTCGCGACATGGTTTTCGCATTACATGTCATGAAGTCAGTTGATTTGAGTACCGCTTTGGCGTTGTAGCCGATCATCTTTTCGCATGATTTCAACAGATTTGTTTGCTCCAGAAGTATCGCCAATTCGTAACACTCTACCGTGTTGTTTTCATTCAGATTTCGTTTCAATAACTTCTCACAAACCATCAAACATTTGGCGACATCGTACATATGGCCCAATTTCATGACTTTGGCCACATTTTTGGTGGTCACCATGACGTTGTCGAAGTAAAAGAATCGCAAAAATTCCTTGAAAACGGTCACTGATGTATCCACGATCCTCACCTCTCTTTTTTCTATCCACGCTCCATTGACATGGCGGCAAAGACATCGCTGGCAGCAGCCAAAAATGTTTTGTGTGCCGGAATATGTTCGGCCGGTTTGTTGTTGGACTCGAACACGAAGTACACATCGGCCAATTCGGTGTTCAGATACAATTTTTTTCCAATTCATGACAGCAATTGACTGGAGAAAGCGCCTTGTGCCAAATTGGAATTCGACATGATTCTCAATCTGTTGTACGAGACATTTAAGGAACAAAATGTGTTAGTTTCCGAATATTGTTCAGCGGTGCTGCAGTGTTAGTTACTTATATTTTAAATGACAATGATCCAAAGAATGTGATTAATTTTTAGAAGATCTCTTTGATTTGTTGTATTCGATAAGCACGCAAATCTGACGAATTTTAGTTTATTTTGTGGAATAATATCAACGTGCGTCAATCACGGCAGTGTGTATTGGTAATGACATATTCCAAATGACAACTCGTATTCTGTGGTTATGATTTGATGCAATTTGAT